CAATATCCTAGGATGCAAATAGACAGTTCAATTTAACAGGGCAGCTTTTGAGATGAGGTGTTCATGCTTGAAGTTAGAGTCTAAAGGAATACTATGTGGTCATATTTTCCATGTGATGATCTTGGAACAAACTTCAGAAATTCAGCATATCTACATTGTGAGAAGATGGTCAAGAGACGCTAATTATGACATGAAAATAGAAGAAGGAGCTGAAGATTGTATACCTAGAAACATTACGGAGACAGCAAGGTATGGGGCATTAAAATTAGATTGCAATACCTTGTGTTACTTTGCAGCAAAAAATGGGGGTGGATATAGTCTCATACAAAAGGTGTATTGTACTCTCATATTTGTAAAAATAGCTCTTCCTAGCATGTTAAGTATGAAGGCCCGTGTTAGTTGTGTGACTCTAGCATCATTCAATGTATCAATAGTCTTGCCATTAAACTTTTCCAAAATATCTATTACACGGACAACATCACCAGCCACAAAATTAAAAGTGCAACCAAGCTATTGATGGATGTAATCTAGCATTTCCTTAATATAGAAATGTCCAAGGAATAGGTAATCTACCAACCTAGATACCAGTTAAGCAAGTGAAGTCTATTGGAGCAAATTTCATTTCACCAAATGATAGGTGAAATGTATTGGTGCTATCTCTCCAACACTTAGCTAGCAGGTATGGGGGTTTCCTATCTCTTGTTGCCTGAGGAAAAAGTCCATGAAACAGCCAAGGCACACTTCAGTCTTTTTCTTAACAACCTCGTCTGGTCATGTATCCCAGAATTTTGAAATATCTGTAAAAGAACCCCTCAAGTAATTATGAAATTTTTCCTATTCCAATTATTTAGGAGTGGACTCCTTTGTTAATTTCAAGTGAGGCAATTGAATTTAAAAATTAGAACAAATTCAAAACTTGGGGAGTGGAAGGTGTGATATTTATAGCAAAAAACAAAGAATTAAATAATAGGATCCGAAAAAACACACTACAAGAAATATGGCCTTCAGTAACAACCTAATGTAGTCACTGAAACCCAAAAAGTCATGACAATGATGACTTTTATCATTGTCAAATGGTTGTTACAAATTCTCTGTCATAAATGATCTATGTGACAAATGTAATGAGGTTGTCATAAAAGCATATTATTCAGTGATAAACATAAAGCTATTACTAACTAGTATAGTTTGTGACGATTTTTCTTGTTACTGTTTTACCTGTATCTTTGTCATAAATAATTCAGAAGTTGTCACAAAATTTTTCTCAATAGTGACGACTTTCGCTTGTCACTTATATCCAGTTCATCAGTGACAAAGCATGTTGTCATTAGGTGAGCTTGTGGATAGTGACAACCCCATAATGTAGTCACTGAACTGATTGTAAAATGGTAGATTCTTAAATTGTCATAAAAAGCTAACTGCATTAGTATTGCAACAATCATAGCCTAGGATTCTATATTAACTAATGCTAAAGCCAATAGTAATTATTCCATAGTAATTTTTCAAATACATATATATGGTCATAAACATCTTCAAATTCATCAAAACATACATCATCCAAAATATTTACTAAGGTCACATTAGTTCAAGCATTGGTAGTCATAATCTAGCCAAAATAGAGTACTACATGTCTCTATAAAAGCATAGGCAAAATCAGCAAAGTCCTGAAATGGAAGCCATCATCATGTTCCTATCCGAAGGCCAACATTTTCTTGATCTTTTTTTTTAATACAAATTTTGAGCTAAACTAAAGCATTTTTCTACGAAAATTAGGGAAACATTTTATTCGCATCCTGTAGCAGCTGCAGTATGCCTAATTTTCCTAATAGAAGGCATTCCTATTCTATCCAGTCGGATTTCCCTACGAGCCAGCCTAGAAAACATATTAAAACAGTCATAGACCTTGATATGTTGCTCAGGGTGAATTATGCCCGTATTAGACAGTGCATCAACAGCTTTGTTTGCCTCCCTGTAGCAATGTGAGAAACAAGTAGTATCGTCAACTAAATACCAAATTTGCCGGACCTCTTTTCAGATATGCCACGGACACTAAAAGCGCCGCTGAAGAATCCCAACTAAGACCAATGAATCCGATTGCACACATAGGTTATCAAAACCCTTTGTACACATATTTGAAGACCAATTAGAAGAGCCAAAACCTCTGCACAAAGAGATGTAGTCTCTCCAAAGAAAGCCGAAAAAGCAAACAAAGGTAAGCTGGTTGAATTTCGAAGGACCCCACCACCTCCACCCATTCCTGGATTACCCTTAGAACAACCATATGTATTGAATATAAACTTCCCAATCTCTTTCGCCTCCCACCAAACCAATTTGAATTCAAATATACTAACAGACGAAATCGACCAATCAAACAACTGACAAAATGTTTGCACTTCAATCATTTGTTTGAAGTGGATCTTCACAATGGATTTAATTTCAGAGAAGATGGTTTTACATATGATAGCAGATCGCATCTAGACACCCTCAAATATAGCTTTATTTCTCGCCTTTCAAATGTGCCAACAGGTAATACTTGGAAGAATGAGACAGATAAAATGTCGTATCGCAGAATCTTGTGACCTTAACCACCATTCAACTATGCGAGAGGACACCCCTAGGAAGTTCAATCCACATAAACCCCCAAAATAATTCCAAACCTCCAAAGCTATGTGACCACTGGAAAATACATGCTCAATAGATTCCTCAGACACCTTTTGACAGCAAAAACACTTTGAGGGCAAATGGAAACCAAGTTTACATAACGTATCCGGTAGTGGCAGTTTTCCCATCAATAATCGCAACATAAAAAATGACACTTGCCAAGGGATCGTAGGGTGCCAAACCTTAAAGAACACCATCGACGTGTTACAAACCTGTCGAACCTCCCAAAAAGCTGATGTCAATGTGAAGTTTCCAGATGACGTGTGCATCCAAATGACTTCATCTGCATGTTCACCTTCAGGGATCGGGAACTTTAAGATTCAGGAAACAATATCTCTTGGCAAGGTTTGAGATAAAAGATTGACATCCCAATGCCCGTTGATAATGAAATTGCGAAATGATAAGTTTGGGACAGCTAGTGCTCTATGAAATAATGCACCAGTGACCAACCAATTGTCGTACCAAAAATGACACGACCCGTCATGGACTAACCATACCATAGATAGCTCCACTTGGCGGCTCACGTTTAACATTCTTCGCCAGACTGCCGAGTTTGTTAACCTTAATGATGCCTGACAGGGGTGGATCATTCTGCAGTACTTTGCTTGCATGAAAGTCGCCCATAACGACGATTGAGTTCGGAAGCTCTATCATAGTTTACAAGAGAAAGCTGTATAAATGTCCGTAAGTTTCCTGAATCCCATGCCCCTTTCGTCAACCGAATAGCGAAGTCGAGACCACCGTATTCAATAAAACTTCGACTCTTCAGATGTAGACCCCCAGAGGAATGCCGAGCAAGCCTTTTCTATAATGTTAAAAAGGGCAGTAGGTATCACAGCAACTGACAACAACTGCACTGGCATTGATGCCAACACGTGCTTGATTAAAATTATCTTGCCTCCAGAGGACAGTAGCTTTGATTTTCATGACAAAATCTTTCCTAGAATAGATTGACACATTTCCCCAAAATAAGCCGATTTATACCTCCCAAAATATAGCGAAAACCCTAAATAACGTATAGGGAAGGACTGCTAAGCAAATCCGATGACACGTTCAATTACCCGTCTTCTAGTCGGTGACAATGTTGGGTGAACCAAATAACAAATTTTTTGAATATTTATCAGTTGCCCCGAGCATCTTTAATACATTTCTAATACCTGCATAATGTCCTTCAAAGAGGAGGAGGAGCCATTCGTAAATATAAGCACATCATTCACGAAAGCCAAATGAGTTATAGAAGGGCACCCATGGGGGACTTTGAATCCTAAGAAATCCGATTTGACTATGAGGCTATTCAAACCTCTTGACATAACCTCAGCACCTATAATAAATAGCGCCGGCGATAATGGATCACCCTGCCATAAACTTCTTGTAGATTTAAAGAAACCATGTGAAGACCCATTAATAATAACCGAGAACCAAACGTTAGATAGTAACCGCCATACCAGATCTATGAATCGCTCCTCGAAGCCAAACTTCTGCAGAACACTAATAATATGGCTCTAAGACACTACATAAGTTTTAGACATATCTAATTTCAGGATAATATTGCCATCTCTAGATTTTTTGCCTATACCCAACACGATCTCTTAAGCTAGCAAGTAATTTTCTGTTATATTCCTGCCCTTCACAAAATCTGTTTGCTGGGGGAAATTATCCTTGGGAAAACACCAGCCACTCTATCAGCTAAGATTCTGAATAACAACTTGTTAATAAAGTTGCATAGGCTAATTGACCTAAATTGGAAAAAATCTTGGGGTTTGAAACCTTAGGAATCAGCACAATGGAGGTAGAAGTGATGAACCGAGGCGACTATGCTTTACAAAAGAAATTGACTACAACATTGTAGACATCCTGAGCAATAACTTTCCACGCAAAGGTATAAAATGTACCCGTGAATCCATCCGGACCAGGTGCATTGTCTCCATCCATTGATCTCACCACTTGATGAACCTCCTCTATAAAAGGAATCACTTCCAACATCCTATTATCCTCCCTCAAAATCGTGGGTGGAATGAGATGCAACATATCGAAAGCAGCCACTGAAGGTCTCGAGAAAAGATTAGAGAAATATGTTATTGCCTCACCTGCTATATCAGCATCTTCATCCACCCAAACACCATTGGAATTTTTTATTCTATGTATCATTCCTTGAACCCGTAGCTATTTCACCATCGTATGAAAATACCTTGATTTACGATCTTCATGACAAAACCATTTGACTCAAGCTTTTTGGCTCCAAAACTGCCCTTCTATGGATAAAGCATAGCGTAATTCCGCCTAAGCCTTCATGAGCGCAACTTGGCTCTCCTCGGTATCATTTTGATCAGCTACTTCCACTGCTAGTTGTACCGCAACTTTCGCCTTTTGAACAGCTTCGAAATATTTCCAAAACTGTACTTGTTCCAAGCTTGAATAGCCCTCCTCGTTGCCAATAATTTAGAGCATAGAACCCGGAAGGTAGAACCACTAATTTCTTGATCCCAGGCATTTCTAATCACCTCCAAAAGTTCTGGTTTAGCCGTCCAGACATTCAAGAAACGGAAAGGCCGTTGCTTATTATCTAACCGAGATACAAACGAAATCTTCAATGGTGCTTGATCCGAGGGATGTCTTACCAAATGAGTAACGGAAATGGCTGCGGAAAGTCCAAACATGCCCCATTGATTAGAAGTCCATCTAACCTCTTCAAAATTCTAACTCTACCTCTCCGATTATTGCACCATGTGAAGCTAGATCCTGAAAAACCTACATCAAGAACCCCAGCCTCTTCCATGAATGACACCAATTCCATTCCCTCATCTACAGCAAATGGACGACCCCCACGTTTTTCATGCGGCGCCGTTATGACATTAAAATCACCCCCAATGTACCATGGATGAGAATTAGGCTTATTAGCTAATAAGTTGCTCCATAAGTATCTCCGCTCCTCTATTGTGCACTTTGCATGAACAAATGACATGATGATTGAACCTGGTAGTAGCGGATATTGAACAGAGATAGATATATACTGATCTGAACTACCAACAATCAAACACACAAAAGGACTACTATAGAAAACCCAAATGTCAGCCGAACGATTGACACACACAAAATCAAATAATAAACGTAACCGAATGGACTCAATTTTAAACACATCTAACTTTGGCTCACAAATCACAACAAACTAATATGCTGTAACCTTATTAATTTGATCAATCTTTTTAGATTAGGGGCTTTAGCCACCCCTCTAATATTCCAAAAGATGCCATTTATCATGAGAAAAACCTGGAAAGAATTTTGGGATGATGTAGTAGACCGTAGTTGTCTATCAGACGGAAAATGAGTACGCACACCTGTCCCCCTTGCTTGTTTGAAATCTTGTGCCGTCACCACAGATTGATCAATGTTCAAAGCCGACACTGACGACTTCATCACTCTTGCTTATTGGACAACCATTCTCGGAGATAAATTGCCTGCAATGTTTGACAAACCAACTTCAATCTCCTCATAATCTCTGTGAACCCCATCCTCCTTCCCATGCAAATTGATAGAAAAAGCTTTCCAACACAGTTCTCTCAGCCATAGCTGCTGTTTCTCGGCCAAAAATTGCTTTGATAAAGCCAGATTTTCATCATAATCATGCCCCTTTTCAGTCACCAGCTATGCATGAATTTTGTGTTTCTCCCCTCCCAAAGACCCCTCTGCCCCATCACATGTAACCTGATATCCATATCTAGCAGAAGCCAATGTCTCAGTTTCTCCACCCATCATAGCAACAAGTGCAATATCATCGGAACAACTATGGTCAGCCTCCTGCCTATGGTCAGCCTCCTGCCGATCGATTGTGGCACCTAGCACATCCGACCCAGTAAGATTTGTCCCTTTCACTGCAACTGCTGTCCTATTTCCGAAGCCTTGGAGCCATCCTTCATAGGATTAGTTGCGATAGCATCATTTTCCTTATTCCCATTAACAGATGGATTGCACACAGGAGCAACCACCTGAGCATAGCACTGCAAACGCATGTGCTGATGAGCTTGATGCCGAGACGTAAATTCAGACAAGCTCTTCTTACATTCCTTAGGTGAGTGACCCAAACGGCAACAAGTGGAGCAATACGACAGCATATCTTCTATCACAATTCTTTGCCAAAAACCTGTTTCCCCTTCGACGGCTACCCATACTCTCGAAACAACTGGGTTCACCACATCAACCTCCACGCACACCCTAGCCACACTAGGCCTTGCGCCAGCAGCCGTAGCCGAATCCAGAAATAAAGGTCTGCTGACTGGAAATAAAATGGAAAACAAAGAATGTTTATTAAAGTAATGTATTGGCAGAGTCGGTAGATTCACCCAAACCGAAACCAGAGACGATTCTTTATGCATGTGGAATTCTCTAGTCCAACGAAATACTCGCATCGGAAATTTTCCCAATTGCCAAACCCCTCTCATCCAAATCCTGTTAAAATGTACCTCAGCTGAACACTTAATCAAAACATGTCTATAGTCCATCAACCCAATAGAAACGTGATCTCTTAGATTTAACGTTGCAAAGAACTTGCAAATTTCTTCTAAAGTAGGTTGTCCATGAGAGAATTTCCCAACCAAAGCCTACCAAAACGGTGCCGCAAGCCTGTCCGCATCTTCTCTAGAGAAAACAACCGCAGCCTCACCCTTGTACAATGTCGTCGGCCGAATTTGGATAGTGGACCTTGCTGGCTGTGAGAAGAGTTGGGAGAAGGATTTTTTCGGTGATAGGGACATACTTTGCCTTTCAGCCAAGGAGTGAAGGGCAGCCATGAATCATCAAAGTGGTATAAGAAACTTCAAATTGGGCAGGATCTTTCGTCAAACAGTTGGCGTGCAGTCTATCTTCCTAACCACTATCATCGATCTTACTTGGAAAGAAATTCTGCTTTGGGCTAAATTAAATTACCACAGGTAGCTTCTTTGAAGAATAAGTGAAGAATCCAACTTCAAATTCGGCTGGGTATTTCATCAAGCAGTTGACGTGCAGAGTTGAATAGATGAAGCCATGTACCCACTTTTGATGAATTGATCTTCGTTTCAACAAAATTACTTACTTTAGTAAGAAAGGAAAAGCAGGATCGGCATCAATTAGTGGATCAATTGGCTGCAATTGCTAACTTGGAATTGCAGACGATCAAATACTTGCTTGGCAGGGCTCTTTGAAATACTTGCTTAACGGACCAAGGACATGTTCTTTGAATTGATTTACAAAGAATCAAGGCGTTTTGCAATTAGCCTTTTCTTTTCTTGATCTCATTATAAGTATCAACAACGCATAGTACTACATTTACAGAAAAAAGTATATGCATGAGAATAAGGATTAAACATCATAGTTACATGAAAAAAAAGAGTTGATAAACTTCATATCATTCTCGTGCATTTTTCATTCCCAGCAAAATAAGAAGGGAACTATACATTTTGTGATGACATATTAGGAACTTTTTGTAGTATTCATGATAGCATTCTCATCACTGTAAGTTGATTAATTAGCAAAATTTTTAAAAAATAAAATGTTTGGAAGTATACAATTCCTGATATCTAGCTCAAATTGGAAAGTGCAAAGTTTCAATTTCTTGTGACAACTAAGTGCATTTTTTTATGACAATCTAAATTTGTTAAATATTATCTTTTTTAATTGAAGACCTATAATTCGTCATGAAAATAACACTTTTTCTAATAGTTCCTAGCCTTGTTAAAGAACAAAATCACCAGTAATAGTGCTTTTTGGGTAGTGAATTCAATCCATTCTGAATCAATATTGCTTGCGTCTTAAGGGGCCATAGCGCAAAGTTTAGTACTCTGCTAAAAAATTTGGATATAACATTTTTTGTTGTCATACTAGAAATAAGAAATTAATCAAGATTGCCCAACTCTGATGCCAATTTGTTAGGATTGAATCTCTAATAATTTGTTAAATTTTTGAGAAGCGAGAAAAGGTGGTGGCAAGGTTGATCGAGCAATACCTTAAAAACAACCATCACCACAGCCTCTTCCATGTTGAACTCAAAATTTAGGGTTCCAATAATAGTCAAAACATGTAGGGTTGAATTGAAAGGATAAAATCATCACTCAAAATATTTATGTGAGAGAGAAGAAAATAAATAATTCACACTATTATTGAAATCTCAAACGACAGAAGAAAGTCACACTACTATAAAAACTTATAGATGCTCTTAGACTCTCTTGGACTCTCAAAAATACCTCAACTAATCCCTAATTATAACTTCTAAGACTTACAAAATAAGAAATCACTTACAGAAAAATTATCAAATAAAACACAAACTCCTAATTAACACAACTACTAAAAATCTGATTCCAATAAAACTAGCAAATAAATAAATAGAAACTTTTAGATTTGGTTTATTTTGCCAACATTCCACCTACTATCTCAAACTCAACCATTGACAACCTTAGAGAAATTGCAAACTTGGCTTTAGATGCCTTGAGAGACATGCTTGAACAATTTCCCAGAGGGAAAGAAAAATGCCTACCACTTTGCAAGTACTTTTCACCTGATGTTCCATAATTCAAACATTTCATGGAAAAACTTAACCAGCTTCCTGAGAGTCATTACCTAGTTGTCCACTAAAAAGAATCTTGTGAAAAATGATCCTCACACTTGTACAATATTGTAGTATCCAATCTAATTGGATGCACTAGCAATAATTAGGCAAATGCATAGGAAAATGGCTAGATTTTTTAGGGGGAGAAGAAGGAGGATTACCTACTATAGGAGCGATTGCCTTGACTTTTTTCCCCTTTTCTTATGATTGCATGGTTACTTGACTCTAAATGTAATTCTATTAAGACCTCGGGTTTGTTGCTTTTGGGATAATTGTTAAAGTTTATTTGGAATGACTTTTGCGGATTTATATGATTGGATACCATTAGACTATTGAATGACTTTTATGGGTTGATTGGAAAATTGTTAGCTCAATTAATTCACTGAATTGAAAGAATATATACACATACACACACAAACACACACATGTGTGTGTGTTTGTTTCTTAGCAATTTTCAATTTTTTTCTTTTATATATTTTATTAACTTCATGCTTGATGAGTTTAATTAATCGTAAGGTACTTCAAGTTGTTTAAGACATCGGACACATAAAAACACTTTTGATTACTCATAATTTTTCTTTGAGATCATATAAATTTCCAACATAGACAAGGTGGATGGCTTATCATCCTCCACAGTGCATAGTTATCCACCCAAATCAAAATGAATAATCAAATTGAATGGATATCATCTGAGCCTAACTTTTTTGTTATGGAATTTTAGCTATAAGATTTTCAAACTTAACACTTTTAATGGCTTCGAAGTTGGAAATGTTTCCTACCAAAAAATGGCCTTTAAAGAGATTTAGGATCTCCAAACCAGAGAACTTAATGAGCGAATTGTAAGGAATCATAGGCATAAAAGCAGCGAAAGATTAAAATTTTTTATTCCTCAAAGGACATTTAGCCTTGATAAATCACATGCAACTAGAAGGGTATTTGAGTATGTTATCTCAATTAATGAAGAAACAAACAAACAATAGGAGCGTTTGTTGCAGAGGGTGGCGAGAGATCCACGTAACTACTCATATGATTGGCCTCTAAAGGTGATCCACACTAACTCTTTAGCTAGAACCTCTAAGGTCGAATTAGCTTTTGCTAGATTTAGTGCTACCTGATTCTTAGACAATCATACACAAAAGATGGAAGAGAAAAATTTGCCCTAATTCACAATTAGGGTTTCAACCAAGAGAGAGAGAAAAGGACCAATTTTTCCTTTCCTTTCTAGTGGAAATTATGACCTATTTTTCTTTCAAAATTTCCTGCAAAAATCTCACCAATTTGTGTGTGGAACTTGTCTAACTAGCAAAAGTTTAAGAGGGTATATATAAATAAAGAGGTTGACCCAATTCTAATGGAAAACCAAAAACTAAATTCCTAAAGAATTGGTTTCCTTACCCCAATTCAACTCCTTGTATTGGAAGACTCAACTACAATTGCAACATTAGTCCCTCAAGTTTAATTTGTCTCACAAATTAAATTATAAGTTATAGAATTTGTCTTTCAAATCTCTACTTGAAATTCATTTGATCCACCTAAAGGAATTCTTAATGTGTATGGCCTGTTAGGTTCTCAAACACGTTGACAATAAGAATGAGTCATAGTTCTTAATTAATAAAAATTACATAAATTAAAAATCCTCTTAATTTTACCTTTTAATAAGAATTAGAAAAGTCAAGTGAATACTTGACCTTTTAATGAGCATTTACCATGTAATCAATATTCTTTTAATATACTTATCTCACATTAAACATGGAATGAGTCATGCCAATTCCATTATGCGATAAATGTTCTTTTTGGCACCAAAATATAACTCGAAAAGATCAAGTACTTAAAAACACCTTTCTAAAGGCCCATTTGGGGGTAGTAGTAGCTTATTGAAAAGTATTTCCCTAGTAGAGCTTTTAATAAAAGTACTTTTGAACTACTTAAGTACTTTTAAATATATTGTTTGGAGACATAATTCAATAAATACTTATTTTATTGGATAATGTATAATTTGAAAATTTTTGTAAGTGTTTATCTCTTTATTTGATTCATAATATCGGATAAAATGATTAAATTTGATATTTTATTTTTTAAATCACAAAAGTTACTCTAAAAGCACCAAATTTGAGCTTTTGCTAACAATGTTTTTAACACCAAAAGCTCTACTCCTAATTTTATGGGATGATGTTAACCAAACACTTTAAAAGTACTTTTAACACCTAAAAGTACTTGTTTACCAAAAGCACTGTAACTCCAAATGGGCCCTAAGACTCATTCACTTAGTATTATGATTACTTGAGCTATATTTTATAATTAAGTAGCCATTAATGAGATAACTCCACTTTCATAAGAGGTGTTAAATTTTTAAAAATTATTCACTATCTTTCCATACTTCAAATACATACCTGTATGCTAATGATGTGAGGATTCTCTTGTACGGGAGCAATCATATTACAAATAAAGTACAACTATCCATACTCAAGGTACCATGATTGTGAGAACTCGGAAATTTATGTGCATACTTTGAATTTATTTCATTATATTTAACTTATCATTAGAAATATTATATAAAACAAATAAATGGTTAAATTAAATGCCTCTAATTTTCTGGTGTGAAAATGGTCATGATCCCGGGAACTATAGAAGGATGCTAACCGTAGAGGATGTCGGTATGTGTGTAAGAAGAATCTGAGTGGGTTGGGTAGAGGTCTTGTTTGGTTTTTCAACCTGTACTTGGTTTCCTAAGCTTTCCCGTACCTTGTGTTCTTCTACTCTGTTTTGCAGGTTTATGCAACTGGAGTTCTGCGAAAGGAAATAGTACAAAGGTGGTGTCAAGTAGCTAGATTTCTAGTAGATGGAGAAGGAGTTAGCTCGTGCTTTCGGCAAATTCGAGCTCTCTACAACGGAGCTGGAAGTGGTAGATCTCTGTTCAAATGATGTTAAAGAGGGTATGCAAGAATGTAGTAGGAGCCTAGTTGGAAGGGTGATAGGTGATAAGGTGGCACATTTGATAGGGTTTAAAAACTTTACCAACCATGTTTGGGGGTATCCCAGAAACATGGCTATAACTGAGCTAGGACCTAACCTCTTTCAATTCCAGTTTGAAAATGAAGATGACCATGAAAAAGTGCTGGTGGGAGGGCCGTGGATTCTGGACAATCAGGTTCTAGTGATAAAAGAATGGGAGATAGGTTGTGAAAGAAAGCTCCACTGCTTTAGATATGCTTACATATGGGTACAGATCTGGAATCTTCCAGTCCACTGGTTGTGTAGAACAGTGGGTTTTAAGTTAGGGAAACTCTTTAGATCAGTAAGAGAGGTAATTTGTCCACCGGGGAGGGGGAAAGAAGGCAGGCATATGAAGATAATGGCAGAGGTTGATGTACTTCAACCTTTTCCGAGAGGAACCTTGGTGATGTTGGAAGGAGTGAACACCTAGGTGGAGTTTAAATATGAGCGATGTCCGGACTTTTGCTATAATTGTGGGATAATAGGCCACGGGGACAAGTCCTGTAATGGGGAAAGGAAGGATGGACAGTTTGGTAGGGAAGGTCAATATGGTGCTTGGATTAGAGCAGGGAACATTATGGCATCTCCCTTGAGAGTTTACAAAGGGATGGAAATAGAGGTAAAACAAAGGGGTATGGTGGTATTTGTGGGGAACAAAGAATCTGGAATTAAGGCTGGAGCAGCTAGGGAGAAAGGTTCTGGGGGAATGGTTGATATAGGTAGTAGAGGGAGTGATGAGGTGGGTAAGAATAGTGACCAGAAAAAGGAAGTAATTGAGAAGAAAGGGAGAGAGATTCTGAGAGAAAACAATGAGCTGGAAAAAAGAGTGGAAAAACATTTAGAGGGGAAAGAGTCAAGAGAAAAGGAAAACATAGAAATATGTAAGGTGATAGTAGACCTGGGGACAAGCAAGAACAGGAAGGACGATCATAGTCTAGTGGACATGGTGGTCGAGATTTCTCCAGAGAAGGAGGTGAAGGACAAAACTGAAAAAGGGGGTATGATAATTCATGCTATTGAAACTGGAAAGAATGGGTGCTTATCACCAGTTAATGAAAGCAAACAAGGGGGAAATGGAGGAGGAGTTTGCGGAATAAAAGAATACCTTTAAGAGACATAACAGATAGTGGGATAAGTGAGCAGGTTTGGAGAAAAAAGAAAAATGTAGGATGATAAACAAGAGCTGGATCTCATGGAGGAGGACTTTGAAGAAGGTTCAAAACAAAAGCTAGTAAAAAGGGACAGAAATGCTGCCCAACAGGGAGGGGAATTGGAGGCTAGTCTCGTAATGCCTCCACCAACACAATGAAGGTGGCGGTGTGGAATTGTCAAGGTGCAGGAGGCCCCTTGACAATTTCCCAACTGAAGGAGGTACTTCACCTCCACTTTCCTAATATCATGTTTTTGTGTGAAACAAAAAACCAGGAAAGATATATGAAACAAGTTCAAAAAAGAGTTAATTTTGAGAATAGATTTGTTGTGAATCCTAAAGGAAGAGCTGGGGGGTTAGCTTTGTTTTGGAAGGAGGATGTGGTACTGCTGGGTGTACAAGGTTCTGACTGGTACATTGCAGCGATAGTAGTAGAGAAGGAAACAAATGATGACTGGTGGCTGGTAGGAATTTATGCAAGTACGGAGGATAGAGTTAGGAAACATCAATGGAAAACAATAGAGGAAAAAAAGAGGGAATGGGGTGAGAAATGGGCTGTTATGGGTGATTTTAATGATATTTCCTCTAATGGAGAGAAATGGGGAGGGAGAGAAAGATCCGAAGGTAGCTTTAGGGACTTTAATAACTTCATTTCTGGGAATGAGCTGGTGGATATAGGATTTGTAGGGGTCCCTTGGACATGGAGTAATACATGGGACGGGAAGGGGGAGGTAAAGGAGAGGTTGGACAGATGTTTAGGGAGTGTTGGATGGATGCAGTTACATGAAAATGTGACTTGCGAGCATATTGAAAAGAGGCATCTGATCATTGCCTCCTTATGGTGGACACAAACCCGCAACAAAGGAGAGGTAAAAGAAGGTTTTTCTTCGACCAAAGATGGGCAAAAGACAAAGCATCTGAAATGGTAATTAAAACAGCTTGGGGCAGAGAACAACATGGATCCAGAATGTTTAAAGTAGTGAGAAGAATTAAGAAGTGCAGATTAGCATTGATCGATTGGAACAGGACAGCCAAAGGTAATGCAAAGGCAAAAATCCAGGAGATAAAGGAGCAACTAAAGGCAACAAGAGAGTGCAATAAGGGAGTCATTACAACCTTGAAGCGTCAGTTAAGCAAAGCCTATAAGGATGAGAAGCTATACTGGAGCCAGAAATCAAGAAGTAGATGGCTCGAGGAGGGGGACAAAAACACTGCTTACTTTCACCAAAGTGTCATGGCTAAAAGGAAACGAAACAGGATCAGCATCCTCCAGAAAACTGATGGGGAGTGGTGTAGGAGTGACCAGGAAATTGAGGAAGAATTGTGTACACACTATAAGGAGCTCTTCACCTCTAATAACCCAACAGAATTTGATGAAGTGCTACAAGGCATACCGTGCACTATTTCCAATCTCATGAATGCACAGTTGATTAAACCTGTGGACGAGTTGGAGATCAAACAAGGCATTTTCTCTATGTTTCCTAACAAAGCTCCTGGAGTTGATGGTATGTCCCCGTGTTTTTTTCAAACATACTGGAGCATAATCAAAGTTGATATTGTCAATGCCATTACTAGCTTTTTTCATACGGGTAATCTCCTTAAGTCTATTAATGAGACCATCATTTCCCTAATCCCCAAGGTTGATAACCCTGTGATGCTAACTAATTTCAGACCTATTAGTCTATGCAATGTTTTGTACAAAACCATTTCCAAGCTGTTGGCTAATAGACTGAAAAAAGTTCTTAAGCACTGCATTAGTCCATCTCAATTTGCTTTTGTTCCAGGTAGACAAATTCTTGACATTGTTATCATTGCTCATGAACTTTTACATTTTCTGAAAAGCAAGAGATTTGGCAAAGTAGGCTTCATGACCATTAAGCTTGATATGTCTAAAGCTCATGATAGAGTGGAGTGGAAATTTCTTGGTAGAATTATGATGCACATGGGTTTTTGTCCTACTTTTGTTCAATGGATCATGACTTGTATTTCCACTGTTTCTTACTCCTTTAATTTGAATGGACAAAAGGTTCGATGTGTCAAACCTTCCAGAGGGATTAGACAAGGAGATCCTCTATCTCCTTATTTGTTTATCATATGTATTGAAGGGCTCTCAAATTTACTCAAGAAAGCTGTGGATAATAAGCATCTAACTAGTATAAAAATCTGCAAAGACAGCCCATGGTGTCTCATTTATTTTTTGCAGATGACTCCCTCTTGTGTTGTAAAGCTAGCAAACAAGAGGCTCAGAAGATCAAGGAGATAATTCAGCTTTACGGCAAAACAACTGGATAGGTGGTAAATTTTGACAAATCTACCATGTTTTTTACTAGAAATACTCCCATGATGCTTAGAGGGGAAATTAGTGAGGTGTTGGACAATATGAGGGAAGCTCTTAGTGGTAAATATCTAGGTCTTCCGATGACCATTGGGAGAGCTAAAAACCAGATTTTTGGGTATTTGATGAGTAACATTAGTAGTAAACTTCAAGGATGGAAACAAAAGTTGCTTAGCCAAGGAGGCAAAGAGGTTTTGATCAAATCAGTCATTATAGCTATGCCTACACACATTATGTCCTGCTCTAAAATAATACCAAAGGTTTGTGCAAAGCCATTAGTGCTAGAATCGCAAGGTACTGGTGGGGTGGTGGGGAATCTAAAAAAAAAGTACATTGGGTTAGGTGGAGTAAACTTTCAGAGGTCAAAGGGAAAGGGGGGATGGGTTTTAGAGACCTGGAAGCCTCCAATATGGCTCTGCTTGCAAAACAAATTTGAAGAATTGTTACCAATCCAAATTTGTTAGTAAGCAAAGTCCTGAAGGCTAAGTATATGAAAGAGGATGACTGGTTAGGACAACAACCACCTAACAATGCTTCTTGGTGTTGGAAAAGCATGCATAAAGGGGGAGAACTACTTCAACAAGGGCTATGGAAGAGAGTGGGAGATGGAAGGTCAATGAAAATTTGGCATGATAGATGGATACCTGGCCTGGTTGATGGAAGAGTAACAATAGTTAAACCAATAGGATGTCAACTTGAGTTTGTCCACGAGCTAATAGAGGGAGGAAAGTGGAAGAATGATCTCTTGAAGCACTGGTTTAATGTTGTTGATGTGGATCACATTATTAATATCCTGCTTAGTTTATATGATAGAAAAGACAGATTGTTTTGGAATTATAGCAAGTCTGGGATTTACACTGTGAAAATTGGATATGTTGTTGCAAAGGAGCAAAGTGAAATGATGAATCGAAGACTTGCATCTGATCCGGAAACCAGCTGGGAAATTAGAAAGCACACAGTATGGAAAAGATTGTGGAGCCTAAACATTTTTTATGGAGATGTCTGCAAAATGGAATGGCCACAAATGAAGCTCTCTACAAGAGATTTGGAATCAGTAACATGATATGTCACTGCTGTGGGGAGGAAATGGAAACCATTGAGCACATTTTCTTCTTCTGCCCAAAAGCTAAAATGATATGGAAGTTAGCTCCTGTAAGGTGGGAGGGCTTAGTTGCACTACAAGGTAACTTGTGGAGATGGTGGGAAGTTGTAACGCAATCAGCAAAGGAGACACAAGGAGTAGATAGAATCAGGCTTACGGTGAACCTCTTATGGCAAATCTGGAAAGCGAGAAACAAGTTAACATTCCAGAGTGAGTTAGTGGATGCAAAAGCAATAATAGACAAGGCACAGCAGGAATGGATCGAGTATGAGGCAGCGTATGAATCAGACACGAGCAAATTCAGGTCTAGAAATGGAAAGACAGGTCCAGCAGCGATGGGAGCCTCCTAAGGAAGGAACAATGATGATCAACACGGACGTAGCAATTTCAGCTAAAATGGTCAGATCAGGATTGGGGATCATTGTAAGGAACTAGTACGGGGCGATAGTGAAAGCGAAGGGAATTACTGAGAGGAGGAAAGGGGAAGCAGCCACAGAGGAAACTCTAGAAATCAGAGGTGGGCTGGAAATGGCTCAAGGTGCAGGATGGACAAACAAAGAAGTCCAATATGACTGTAAGTATGTTGTGAGTCTCATCAATACGGACAATGTTCAGGAATGTAGACTCCAAACACTCCTGGATGACATTGATGTCCTGAAGAAAAGATTTGAAAGTTGCACTTTCTCTTTTGTTCCCAGAACTGCTAATAGTTGTAGCCATGAATTGGCTCAATTCGCAGTCAAGGCAACTAGAAGTTTTGAATGGGAAGGTACATTCCCAACTTGGCTTTCAGCTTTAGCTAGGAAAGATATGGGGGTAGTTACCCCTTTTTGTAATTAGCCCTTGTACTATCAAGTGTTAATATCTATAAAAATATTATCATTTGTCAAAAAAAAAAAAAAAGAAATATCCTAGAATGGTGTAAAAAAAAATTATATGAATCAAATAAACATATGATATGCATATTGTAATTTGAGCCATTTGAATATATTATATAGTTAAATAAGTTACATGACTACTTAATTTTCCTTAAAGTCAAATGTGTGAAATTTTATTAGACCAGAAAATTTTCCAAGGTACATACAAATTAGAATAAACGAAATTTGGAATCAATGTATGAGACAATAAAATTATGGACTCGTAGCAAAGAAATGAACTAAAACTAAAGGACTGAACCAATCTTGGAGATTCGGTTAAACTACCATGCAATTAAGGAACAAGCTACTAGAATTTTGACAAAACAAGAACCGAGAGAGGAGATGCTTGGAGAGATTGGAACCGACTGAAAGCTAGATAACCATCCGCTAAGTTCAAACGGTGGAAAGGAAAATGCGTAGAATTTGGCTGCTAGTTTGGGGCGGTGAGTGACTCTTATTTAGACAGCTGCCAGGAATTTCATTGCTGAGTAAGCAGTGACCGAAAGAGAGAAGCTAAGAATTTCATTTGTGCACTGGAACCAGGCAGCTCCTTACTTTTCTTTCTTTCCTTCTTTATTTCATTCTTTCTTTCTCAAACCAACCGAGGAGTGGAATTAGAGGTGAGGAGAGGAAGCTGATTAACTCCATCAGCTGCTAAACATAAACGAACAAACCAACAAATGCAAGGAAGGGAGATATAGCTGGTGCAAGAGTTGAGGAACCGAGGCTAAGATTAGGAGCAGTCTGTAACCGTTAAAACTTAAAGGAAAAAGGTAAAACTCTTTGTAACCTTCTTTTATTTACAGTGTATAACTGAATATATGGGCTGCATGTTAGTTTTTAGCAAGGAAAAATAAGTTTTAACTGAGGAAAAATCTGATGAAGGAATAAAATTGAAGCTGGACTGAATCTGTGGGAACCGAGAGATGGCTAAATGAATTGCAGCTTGTTATCAATGGAAAAATGGAAGGCATTAAGTGAATTTTAGCTATAGAAACTTGTGAAAGTTGAAACTTTGAGTTGAAAACAAAGAAAGAAACCTGCTAGAATCCTTATAGCTTCATCCGAGAGAGAAGAAGTGAAGAAACTCTAGCTGTCTTCTGCAAAGTTTAGTTTTAAATTTCGTATTAAGCTGTAATGTATTGTAAAGCATCTTAACTTCATCGAGCATGACAGAAACAAGTGGAAACTAAAATGAACATTGAAGGAAGAATGAGTTCAATTTACTGCAGATTTCCTTCAATTTACTGCAGATAGGTTGGCCGAGGAAATGAAACAGAATATGCAACTTGTTGTTAATATGTTGGAAACACTTACTAACAACCGCATGAGATATGTTAATTCTTTACCTTAACAGATAGGTGCCTTGGAAATCAGAAAACTTCAGGAAGCTTAACTAAAATTTGACAAAAGGAAGCTGGTACAATCTGCTATGATAGAAAAAAAAAAAGCGAAGGAAATCAGCTTGTAGAGCAGCCTTTTTTTTAATTTCTGGCTCTGTGAACTTCCACAGGTAGAACTAAGGTTGCTTTGTTGTTTAATGTCTACGGCTGGTTCAGTAAGTAGAGTTAAACTAAAACAAATGAGGAGGGAAGCAATGAGATGTGCTGTTGAATTACCTCATGACCGAGAGACAGAAGGAAGAGTAGAACAGTCTTATCCTCTAAGTTAGCTGCAAAATTTTCCAAGTTATGTACAAGGCTACTTTGTAGCTTAATAAATGTAATTAACCTGGCTAGTTGGGACATGAGAGTGAAAGGAAAGATTTAAGGGAAATATACTGAATATTGGACTGATACATTGCTAGAAAGCTTAGTTAATGGTTGTCATTGTAGATGACAGATCTTGAATATGATATGGTCAGTCAACATGCGGAAATTATGAGGTAATCACCATGAATGGAATGTTTATTAGGTGACTAAAGTTTAAGCAATTAAAAGGTGAAGTTTATTATAGGTTTAGGAACATTTGAGCTGAAATCCTGTTATGGGATCGGATGAAGAGAAAAATGAAACTTCTATGAAATCTTGAATTCTAGCTAATTGGTTGTAAAAACTACGCTTATGAGCATTTAAGAAAATTAAAACTAGAAAACTAATGAGTTACTACAAAACTCAAATCATAGGCAGCTTAGAATTGGTTTGGATTAAAAAGGGAAGGATGAAAAGTTTATTTACTTTAACCTTAGGATATAAAGTAGAAAATGGTTTAATCCTAATTTAAATATTTATAAATTATAATCTTGAAAAATATGTATATTTCTTAGTTAAAATGATAAAGTCAATAAGCTTCGAAATAAAATGTAGAATAAATATTGAATATATTATATTTTAAAGTCAAACTTGATTTTAATAGTTCCGATAATAGGGTAATAAATAATAAATGAATATCTACAAATTTTATATTTACTTTGGACTTATACACTTATCTCAGGGAATAGCTGTGAGCCAGGAAACAAACTTGAGGCTCAAGAGTAATTTATTTGGATATTTGGTGAGTGTTTCCGAATTTATGTGTTTAACTGTTTATGTTTACTTAAGTGGAATTATGTGATAAATGTGCTTATTATGAAATATTACTAAGTGATTCATTGTAAAGTATATCTCAATTGTCCCTCGCCTTCTAAGTCGATGGTGTATTTTATCGCACTCGACTTAATTGAGTTTAAAGTTTGGTAATTGGCTAAATGTTATTATAAGTGTGCATGACTGTAAGCCGTGTGTGTACTTTATCATACCGGCTGAATTGGGCCCTAAAACCCTTTGTTCAATGGACTATTCGAGCCAGCAAAAGGGCTTGGTCGGATAGGACGGTAGCTTTGGGTAAGTGTATTGGTATGCTCGAGTATTACCACGGAGTAGAAAGATCACTGATATTGATATTGTGAGGACCCGAAAATTTTCTTATTTATCGAATATTACAAGTTTACTTAAATATT